GGGGGGTATGCGCGCGAGCGTGCGAGCGAAAGTATAAATCTTAGGGGGAAAAGGAATATTTTAACAGACAAAACTACACATTACATCGCCATATGCTAGTATATCTAAACAACACACACGGTTTCCATGTTAAAACTTCTGACTCACCAAAGATTACTCTCCGTAAATCCGATGTGTAGGAATTGTGGGCGGTTGGAGAGTGTTCAACTGGCCAGCCCCACTTCCCTTCTTTCCGTCAGGTGATTCGGTATATCAAGACTGTTCTTTTCCCTGCATAAAATTATATATGGTTGTTATCATGTCAATGTGCTTCTCTTTATATTTTATTCAAACTTGTAACTTTTCCCTTGCACTAAATATGGATGTCATTATCATTGAATATTATGATGTATATATTTCTCTTATTAATACTCAAACGCTAAATAGGTAATTAATACTCAAACGCTAAATAGGTAATTAATACCCAAACGCTAAATAGGTAATTAATACTCAAACGCTAAATAGTTAAATTAATACTCAAACACTAAATAGGTAATTAATACTCAAACGCTAAATAGGTAATTAATACTCAAACGCTAAATATGGCTGTTAATTATGTTTATATATTTCTCTTATTTAATACTCAGACGCACAATATGTTTTTTTTATTATGTTGATGCATTCCTGGAATGGATACTCAAACGCTAGGTAAGACTTAAAATATTATGATGTGCTTATTTTTAAAACTCAAACGCCAACTTCTTACAGACCTATTTCTCCTCACTCAAACTTTTGACTTTTTCGCTGGACCTAGTATAACCGCTTTCTAAATTATCGTTGTATTCCCCTTTACTCAAACTTCTTCTAACTTCTTACCTGCACTAAATATAGCCGCTATCCTGTTCACGTGCTTCTGAGGAATCAGAAGCTAGCTTTTTTTCGCTGCATTTAACATAGCCGCTATCTTATCTATGTATTTCTCTTAACTCAAACTTCTAGACTTTTACCTGCACCAAATCTTATAGCAACTATCGTGTGAACGTGCTAGCTTCTCCCTCACTCGAGCCAAAACAAACCTGTGAAAAACACCATGGCCTACCTTTAATAAAAACATGACACGGACTGTGGTGAGACGGCAGCCGGGAGTCGGGAGACGGAACTAGAACTACTGCGTGGCCCGTTACCACCTCCCGCGCGCGAGTCTTGGCTATCTGTGAATGGAATGAAACCTTTTTTAGTGGCACTGTAGTTAGTTAAAGGGGGTGCCCACGAGCGCGAGCGGATCGGGTCGGGTCCGGTTGTTTTCTGGTGGTTTCAGTGCACACTACAACTCCGCCGCGTTTGTACCCGACGAGTTGGAAGTTAAAGTAGAGAAACCTTTAACATCAATGCCTTCCGGGGCTCCTTTCCGCAGTTCCCTGTTGCAGTGCTGCAGCAGCCTGGAATCCTATACACATGGTTACAATAGTTACATTGATAACTCTCTATTGTCAAAGATGGTTCATAACATTAACAAGAAAGTGCACTCGGCCCAAAAAAGTGTCCGAGGAAGTCCGCGCATTGGTTCAGACTGATGGTGCTACTGTCTATGTTTTGAGGCTCTCTTTCGTTTTTCCAGAAAAAGAATAGGAATAGCACAGTTTGTTAGTTTGGCTTTTATTGTTTTTCACACAAATAGTGTAACTCTGTTCGCAAAGTCCGCACTTTTTCGAAGAGTGCACCACCGTGACCCCTGCCTTGTTGTAATTGGCTGCAAACCACTCGATCACGTGACTACAAGGCCGGAAAACAAACGCGTTTGTTTTTGCAGGTCACCGACCGAGTCGATATGTTTCTGCCTCGATGGCCGCTTTGCGCCCTCAATTTGGCTAGCTCCGACGTTCAAATCGACCCGACCCGACCTGACTCGACCTGATCGCGTTAATGGGCACCCCCTATTAGTTAGATGTCTGACTCGCACTGTGGAGTGTGGAGTGGGGAATGTGTCGGGAAATACATTAAAAATCCAAGAAAGGGGTGGAAGTGGTTGCGCAAAAAGTAGTTCATGACTTCCTGGCCTGTTGGAGGACGATACCTTTGAGAATCGATTACTTTGAGACTACTTGGTTGTGTTTTCACTAAAATGTATACATATTATCATTATTATACCCTCGTATTATTACACTAATAGGATGTATTCTCATATACAGACACAGCACACACACACACACACACACACACACACACACACACATACACACACATGCGCACACACACCACACACATGCGCACACACACCACACACACACACACACACACACCACACACACACATA